ACGGTATGGAATATATAGGACACATTAGATCTACAAGAAACAAACAATAATTTATTAAGGTACATAATGTTATTAACCTTTGCAATCCTTTATAGTAACTCGTGTCAAAAATGTACATACACAGTGTGACCTGATATCCAAAAGTAGAACACATTTGGGTCAAGAATAGCCTCATGTCATTTGGCTTGGAAATGGGGTTTATTTTATGTACATTTCTAATAAAGCTGTCTATATCTTAATATCTAGACTCAAAATATCAAACACATAAAATCATGATCATGAATATGACCTTTTATCAGCATGAAGAATTTATATGAAGGTTACCCTTATGGAAAGTTTTGTTTCCAGTCAATAAGTCCGTCTTCCAATAACTGCAGCTTCACTATAATTTTGTAAGAGGCAACGGGGCAACTTAATGATCATAAGGCCCACGTTATCAAGGTTGTGATATCAGTGGCAAATGGGTCGACTTATTCACCATAAAACAACAGGTTGTTAATGTTTAAATATCAGTGGCAGTGGGTCGACGTAATAATCATAAAGCAACAGTTTGTTAATATTGTAACATCAGTTGCAATGGGAGAGTGCATAGTGCTGTAGGAAGGACTTTCTCTTACTCTGTTTACGATCGCCATTGCCCTTTCCCCCACCCCGGCCCGCATCTGAGTAACATGCTTTCCCTCACTTCTTTATTGCGTTCTTTCACTTCATTGTTCAGAACTACACCACAGCAATGGGTCGACTTAGTAACCATCAAAACCCATATTATTAATGTTGCCATATCAGTGCCAATGGCTCGACTTATTAACCATAAAGCAACATACTTAATTTTTTAATATCAATCGCAATGGCCGATTAAATAACCATAAAGCTACAGATTGTTCATGTTATAATATCAGTGGAAGTGAGTAGACTTAATAACCATAAAGCTACAGATTTTTGATGTTGTCATATCAACATAAAGTTAGATTTCGTTGGTATTTATGAAATAATACTGTTGGTATGTAGTTAAAAGTCAGTTTTTCTATATCCGTGGCAATGAGTCAATAACCATTACGACCCATATTGCAAATTTTGCAATGTCAGTGACAATGAGTCGACTAAATAACCATAAAGGCCCATATTGCTAATGTTATAACATCAGTAGCTATGGGTCGACTTAATAACCATAAAAGCCCATATTGCTAATGTTGTAGCATCGGTAGCTATGGGCCGACTTATTAACCATAACGGCCCATATTGCTAATGTTGTAACATCAGGAGCTATGGGCCGACTTTTTAACCATAACAGCCCATATTGCTAATGTTGTAACATCGGTAGCTATGGGCCGACTTATTAACCATAACGGCCCATATTGCTAATGTTGTAACATCAGGAGCTATGGGCCGACTTTTTAACCATAACAGCCCATATTGCTAATGTTGTAACATCGGTAGCTATGGGCCGACTTATTAACCATAACGGCCCATATTGCTAATGTTGTAACATCGGTAGCTATGGGCCGACTTATTAACCATAAAGGCCCATATTGCTAATGTTGTAACATCGGTAGCTATGGGCCGACTTATTAACCATAACGGCCCATATTGCTAATGTTGTAACATCGGTAGCTATGGGCCGACTTATTAGCCATAAAGGCCCATATTGCTAATGTTGTAACATAAGTAGTTATGGGTTGACTTAATAACCATACGACAACATAGTATTTATGTTATAATATCAGTCACAGTGGATTGACTTCATTGCCACAAAGCAACAAATTATTAGTGTTTGTAATATCAGCAAAATTAAGATTTCGTCGGAGGTTTTGAAATAATACTGCCGGTATATAAATCCTTGGTGTTGTCAGTCTGATCAAAAATAAGGCGCAGTTGTCAATGACTTGATGTGACAGACACGCATAGGAGTTTACGTTATGTTCACCTTTCTGTCAGCAATGAACCTGAATCATTCATACTAGTGAAAATGATAAACATCATTTAAAACGTATCGTTGATAACCATAAATATCCGCAACGCGAAATACACGCTTTAAGCAACTTAAGTTAAGTAGGGTATAAAACAAACAATCAAGTGGACCAGGGATTTCAAAGGTCACCAGAACATGAAATTTGTATCGATGCCTGTTAGAGATCACCGCTATATCAGATATCTTCATTTTCTCGGGTATTTGTAAAAATCAGAATGGAGGTTTGCTAACAGGTTATTTTGTATACGATTGCTTTCCTTAGCGAAGTTCAAAACATTACTTTAATATTGTTTGTTCCTCTTGTCTTTATCCACCTTGTATTGCAATATATTTACCAGCTTAAATGTATATGCTGTTTTTAATAGCAAAAGCATGAAAAACAAAACAAAACAAAACAAAACAACAAAATAAGGACCAACTCTGCCGAAACTCCCTGTTTCTGTCCAAATACTTGATATCAGAGACTAGAGCAAGATGGTATAGTAGGTAATGATGGTATGACTGATTTTTTTTTCTCTCGCCTATTACAACAAATGCAAGACACAAACACGCATTTTAACAACTGTGAAGGCTAATCTGCGGCTTTTAATTAAAGATTTTAAGTAAAATCAAAACTTGGAATGGATAGCTGTCGTGCAGAAATTTAGAATACGTATGGAAATGCAATATCACTTCCATGGGTACCAAACGATTTGTCCCCGAGTCAATGTCAAGTCATTTGAAAATAGTAATGACAGTTTAAGTCAACGTGTATTATCTATATGGTTAAAAGCCCAAAAACTTCGGATGGATTATGGTCAAATTAAAACTGTAGAATTTGCAAGCGACGTCGTTAAATTTCTATACATCCTTGTACTCTCTCTCTCTCTCTCTCTCTCTCTCTCTCTCTCTCTCTCTCTCTCTCTCTCTCTCTCTCTCTCTCTCTCTCTCTCTCTCTCTCTCTCTCTCTCTCTCTCTCTCTCTCTCTCTCTCTCTCAAACCTGAACAAACCCACTGCCATTGAAATATCTTTTTTAAATTTTCAGTTAGGTATATATCATGGTGAATGTAAGGAGAGCCAATTATCCATTTCAAATAAAATACCTACCTTGCTCCAGGAACACGAATCGTGACATCAAAGGCATCACAGGTCGGACTTAACTGCCAGTTGAAGCTGGTCTCTAATGTTGAACGAACCTTGGCTTTATGCGTATCAAATGTGCTAATTGTTTCACTTCCAGTTTAAGGATACGATAATATGCTTTCTGGAACACCTTAACCTCTCAGAGGTCAGGATTGTGTGAATTAAGGTTGATGTTTGGGTTAAGGTCAGGAAGCTTAAATAACTGCTCAAGCATTTCAAAGTCGTTAGTTCGACATCTTGCATTCGTCAACTATGTAACTTAAAAATAAAACCAATTGTCTTTACTGAAAGCAAACACTTTAGGAAAAGAAAGTCGTCTAGATTCTAAGTTTCAATTACTTTATACTAGAGATGAATGTTTTCATTAAAAACTAGATATGTTACCCATAGACATTGTAGTGCATGCACCATACACATATTCAACTTCAAAAACGAATATATCTAACAATCTTTAAATAAACAAAATGATACCAGGCATAAAATTAATGTGAATGATGGTCCGTCTGGAACATGGATATTAATATTTACGCATATAATTAGTTATATGGCTGGAAACCTGACAAGACAATGTTTTTACAAGTCATAAAAATCTATGAATACATATTATCGGTAAAGTTCAAACATCTGAGATACAAGCAGATTGTCACTGGAATTCGAACGTCTATATTATTTATGTTTACGGGAAGAGGGAAGGTGCCTTTCAACACTATTCTATTTCTTTGTGGTATGTTTTAACTAGAGTGATAGAAATTCAGAGAGGCTTTCTTTCAAAAGAGGGAGAAGGAGTAGGTGTTGACCAATATGGCGTATTGTTAATAATAGTTAGGTTCATTTGATAGTGAACTGGAAACATGTTAATGACACATTTAGACCCAAAAAAAAGCCTAGCCCAATTGTATGCCAGAACAGTTAATCTAGAAGGCAGTAACTGAAAGCTTTAAAGTTCTTTATCATCTGGAAATGATTTCATTAGCCTTTCACAGAACAGAAGCACAGAAATGTCTGCTCGATCCGCCATCAGAACCTTGGTTAGCGAAGATTCTGATCTTCTGATCTATATGGTTCCGTACGTGCGTGTGCTACAAAGCAAGGTTATATGATCAAAATTAACAACTGCACCTGACCAAACTAATTTCAATCAATCAATCAATCAATAAATCAATCAATCAATCAATCAATCGAGAGAGAGAGAATGCAGTAATTGCACGCATCCCCAATGTACAAGGCTGTTTGCCATTAATTACTGCTTAAGAAAGACTTCGTGACTATTGTGTGTCTTTTATTAATTCTGACAGCAAAGTAAGCAGAAATTAGACTACTTCAAAATATTACTGCTTACACGGTTCTCGACGCTGTAAAAGAATCTGTAAGATGCGATTTTTTGTACATACGATATCCAATAGAGAATTGCTTTTATCAATATAAATACCATAAAGCAGGACAACTTGATGTCGACACTGACAAAAGTTCATATTTATTCCTTCCTTCAACGACACATAGCAAACATCTCATCAACATGCAAAACGTTACCCCATTAAGAAAAACATAGGATACCTAACTTTGTCATTAGTGTTGAACACCGCTAAAATGTAAAGCGGACATCTGGTAAAGGCCATTTTGGACCAATAAATAGATAATTATTTTATCTTTCAAATAGATTGCCAAGAGGACACTTTGCGACCATAAAAAGCAAGTGACTCAAAATACCATTGTTGGCAGCTTCAGTCATATATATATATATATATATATATATATATATATATATATATATATATATATATATATATATATATATATATATATATATATATATACATATATATATATATATGAATCTCTTAGAGTGTATATAGCAATTCTGTTTCGAAATAGAGTATATACTTACAAGTACAACTAGACTACACTTAATTGTGGCCTAATGGTTAGAGCGTCCGCCTCAAATGCGGGAGGTCGTCGGTTCGAACCCTGGCTGTGTCATACCAAAGACTTTACAAAATGATACTAACAGTTGCATCGCTTTGCGCTCAACATTAAGGGGTTAGTGTTAGGACTGGTCGGCCTGGTGTCAGGATATCATGGGTGGGATATCATGTCACATGTCTGCGGCATGATGCCCCTGTGCTAAACATCACAATAAACTGTCACACTGCAGACATCGTAGCGATATGACTGAAAAATTGTTCGAGCTACTTTAAAAATCTAAATCTCTCTCTCTCTCTCTCTCTCTCTCTCTCTCTCTCTCTCTCTCTCTCTCTCTCTCTCTCTCTCTCTCTCTCTCTCTCTCTCTCTCTCTCTCTCTCTCTCTCTCTCACACACACACACACACACACACACACATACACACACACAAACACATCAAAAAATCTGATTCAACTCATGTCAAAATTACAAATTAGATCGGATCACTTGTTTAAACCTATAAAATAATAAGTCATAATATTTTGTTTTAACACATCTATCACTCGCATTTGAAATATTTTACAAGATAAGTGTGCATAGTTCCGATAATACTAATCGCTAAATTTTGGCATTAATTTATGTAACTCACACTGGTTATAAGTAAACATAACAGAAAGCACACTGTGATACCTATGTGGATTTTAAAGAAAGAGAAATTTATTTCTCCAGGAAATTGCAGTTTATATGATGCACGATGTAAGCCATGCTGCACGTTCTTTGGGAACTTTCATTGACCTGCTAGAAAGAAACTTCAACCACTCATTCTAAACTATTCCGGTCCGTTTCTATGGTAACAACACATGTATGTAGGTTGTAGGTAAGAACTCTACGGATTCATCTGCTGGCTCAATTAACAAACGATACAGAGATTTCACTTGAACGTGGGATATGTTCATCCCCTACTACTTCGGGTAAAACAGGTAAAGTCTCTATTACAAAACTGAATCAAAGAAAAGTTCATGAAAGTTAGATCAATAAGTAAAGGCATTACATACATAAAAGTAATAATACTTCTTCTAACCTCGACAGTATAAACCAAAATATAAGTACATTTATCTATCTTAGGCAACGCTGATACATCTCCACCCCTCGACCTTGAAATAGCATTTTCCAAAACCTTGTCCCTTACGATGCCTTATCCAAAGATGGGTGTAATTCTATCGGCGGAGGCTGACGTACGGGTCCTGAGCCAAACCCCGTTTAAAACAGAAGCTCTGATAGGCTATATACCGCATTCCTTTGGTATCTTTCCTGGAGGTTACTTAGCAGCTGGCCGATATCTTGCTTTACTTCAGCATTGCCCTTTCGAGTCTGCAGTTGCACACACAAGGCACATCGTTGGTAGCAACAGAGCCTCTTGTCTGTTAGTCTGCAGATCTTCGAACATTCCCTTCTGCCTTTGAATTCCCTTTCTATTTTATTTTCTTCGAGGAACAGAAGGAACCAGTATACCAATAGCAATGGATCAAATCAAGAAAAAGATGCTTTCCATGAAAATGGAAAAGGAAAATGCTTTGGATAGGGCCGAGCAGCTAGAACAGAAACTAAGGGATACGGAAGAGCAGAAGGCGAAGGTATGACTTTTTTATTACATGTGTTAAATGTATAAAATTTGTATGAAAAATACAGTATCCTGTGTTTAGAACCATTTTCAATATATCTGTAAGAAAAATCACGGGACCTATCGAAACAAGTTTCAGATTTCTGACAACAGTTTTCCTTATTTCTCTAAGTTTCTTTATCATGTATCTTTATCATGCACGCAAATAAATGTATGCTTAAACTATGCACCTTCTCACTTTTTTCATGCAAATGCTTCTCATTATTGCTCAGTTTGCAATTACGGTAAATAGTAGATAGAGCTTGGCAAAGAGTATTAGTCTCAACCGCCATTTTGAAATTTGATCCTGCTCTTATCTTGGCGAGTCTGCATTTCTTCACTAACCCCATACGTAAGTGGCTGACATTATCGGTGCTCGCTATATTAGGCGTACTGCTCGTGTTGTACTTACTTACCTTGTTAAATCAACAGTGCTTTTTTATATTGCTTTTATGAAAAGAATGTGTTGTTCTTGCCAAGGTTTTCTCACCGCAAGCATTTTGTAAAGTATCAATTGCCAACATTGTTAAAGTATCAATTGCTAACATTGTAATAATGTCTAGTAATGCGGTGCTATAATATTTGCTCAAGTGTGTCCTATGAACATAATAATCAAGAACAACAGAGACTGCGATTGTCGAAGAAATTCATTCTGACTGCATTACTATGACATTGCTCATCATACACCGACTTTTTTAAATAAGTAACGTTAATATTTATTAGTTTACGTAGATTGTATTGCTTGAAAAAAATATATATAGATAGATAGATAGATAGATAGATAGATAGATAGATAGATAGATAGATAGATAGATAGATAGATAGATAGATAGATAGATAGATAGATAGATAGATAGATAGATAGATAGATAGATAGATAGATAGATAGATAGATAGATAGATAGATAGATAGATAGATAGATAGATAGATAGATTAAATACAAGAAAAAATAATTATTATCTAAAATATTTACGGCTTTACACCCCACTTCATAAAAAATACTGAAAATTTCAATCTTCCCACAATATTCGCCATCAGTCACAATTTTCCTCCTGTCAGCTTTAAATATACCACCGTTACTCGCTTAAAAGTCTAGTCTAGCTGCAAGTTGTTCACATCCTGATCTGGGTCTGTGCAGTTTGTTAGGCGAAATTAGCATAATAAATTACACAGACTATGATCAGTGGGTGTTTTGTGCGACGACTGAATAACCTCTATGCTGTTTGAAGTTAGAATTACCTTATGAGCGAGTAAAGACGGTATATCGGTAATTTTATTGGAATAAAATCAGTTTCAAGTGTAGTCTTATTTACTCATAATCAGTAAATTGTATCATATTAGGGGTCATATATCATAGGTGGCTTGACTGATGCATGCATTTATGACAACAATGTATTCATTTTGCGCATGAAAATTGAGGTTACTTCTATGTGCCTTTCCAAAATAGTTTCAACTAAAATATCTCAATATATTGTGTCTACAATATGTAGTTCAGTTGTTTGTTTTTTTTTATTGCACGCTTGCTAGTCTAAAATTTATGGCATCGTCTTACCCATTAAAGTTTCGGTCAGTTTCTTTTCCGTAAAAAAAAAAGGTAAATCAAAGAACACATACAAAATATACATATATACATACTCTTTTCAGTTTGCGATCATTCATTAACAAGTTGTTGTTTACGAGTTCACCCTATATTCCAGTGGCAAGCTTTACCTGATTCGTATTCGGAAGTACAGTGTAGACTAGACGGGTTATACTGCTTTGTCAATAGAGAAGACATTTCACTCAATGCCCGACGTCAACCGACTTAATGTCAAAATGCCAAACATGAAAAGCGGACGTAGGACCCACACCCACCCCTGAAAGTGTGCGTCTCTGATTCATGCTAATATTCATTTTAAAGTTACCTTATCATATAGAAAACAACAATTGAAAGGAAATCTGTGTTCATGATAGTTTATGTTGCAAACTGTTGGTAAATGTTGTACGTTGACTTCATGCAGTGATCCCCAACAGTTGTTATAAGTACCCTCTGGTCGACATAAATGAGTCTATAACGCTGTTGTAGTCATAATAAATGTTCTGTGAACTACGATTGTTTTTGGGGGAGTCCAAGGCTGATGCGCGTATCCTTAAATTTACGACATGAAAAACAACATCTATTACAAAATGAACCATTCATTGTTTTAGTTAATTATTCCATCAAATATTCTGACACATTTCTTTACTCATATTTTCAGGTAGAGGAAGATTTAACGGTACTGCAGAAGAAACACCAACACCTTGAAAACGATTTTGACAAAGTTAACGAACAGCTACAAGAGGCCGTGGTAAAACTAGAGACCTCTGAAAAGAGAGTAACTGAGGTAAGCTCTCCGTGTTTTGTTTGTTTTTCATATTTCATTTGTCCTATTATGTGTTTAAATACAGAATCATGGTTAAATGAAAGACACTTCAGTTGATCTGGATTGTAATACGCATATGTCATAAATTAATATCTGTATATGTGATCCAGAAAGGGACTACTTTACGTACAACAATGCATATCAATTGAAACGTTCAAATACGGTAAAACGTGTGCCATGACAAGGAAAATTACTTCGGTCACATTATTTGTAAATATTGAGTGTGTCTGCCTGTAAATATAATGTTACAGTGAAATTAAATGCTCGGTATATTCGATTCACACCTTCGAGGCAAAGTGTGATTCAAGAAGAGATGTTTGGATTAAATTTGGCGTCTTGGATGTGAAATATTGTTTTTTGTTCCGAGGCCTAAGGTTCCACATCAACGCTTCCGATTTCACATACTTAGGTTTCATACAAATACGAAAAGTTAAAAGAATTTCATTTCCTCTCTAGTATTATGTAGTTCCTTCACCAGTTCATTGTTGAAACACTTGCGAAACTTGTCTTAACAATATAGGTCTTTCGGCACATTTGATAATATAGATTATATGTTTGTGTCAGAATAGCACAAGTACGGCCTTTTTGTCGTAATAATATAAATGGACACTGGGTAAAAGGTATGTATATTCCGACATAATACTACGAATTGTTATCACCAAGAATAACAAAGGATATCCACTTGGCCATAATTCACGCGGTTCATTTTTTAAAATCACTTATCAATGGGTATATCAGTTTATCAATAACTTATGAGATTATGGATTTTTTTTTTCTATACCAATGTAAGAAATGCAAGGGGACGCAAATAGGGTTTCTTTTTAAAGCCGTTGCCACGAGCCCAGCGTTGAAAACTGTTTTGCGAGTAACTAACCGTTTATGGTGTAGAGACGCAACGCAGTTTCCCGAAGTATGCTATACTCGGAACATAATTTACAGCGTTTCTTTTTCTTGGCTTAATTCAAAAAAAAAATAAATAAATAAATAACAACAACAACAACAATTTATCTTACAGA